TTACTAAACTTGTGGGGACCAGTAGCCCTTATGGGGACAAAACGCCGGTCCCCAAGAGTTTGAAGTCTTTTTGACACTCAAAATGTGGTTTTAGTATCAGGGTTACAATACGTTTATGGTTAGGTTTAGGCTAAGCAGTTAGGGTTATCCTTCATTTGTGATGGTTAGGGTAAGATGCTAGGGAAAGCATTAGATGTCCCCACTAAGATATGAAAACACGATTTTGTGTGTGAGTGTGTGTGTGTGCACATGTGCTGTAATGGAGTGAATTCTTGTCCCTATGTTTGGAATACTGTTGTGAGATTCTTTCCTTTTGTCCCTTTCTATGTTTCTCACCAGGGGAAGGGAACTTGCTGGCCATTCTAATGCAGCGCTGGTGGAAATACATGATTCTGGGTGTCATAGACATTGAGGCCAACTATTTGGTCCTTAGGGCTTACCAGTACACTACACTGTCCAGTGTACAGGTTGGTATGTGTGAGTGCTTCTGTGCGTGTTTGCAGACATTACATCAAAGCCAGCTGTCCTCATAGTACCCATAGAGTTTTTGTGAAGTCTGACAAAATAATGTTGATGTTTATGGTACAAAGCTTGTTTGAGGTTTTTTTTTTTAAATAAAAAAGCCCTTGAGTTCCATTGTGGAAAATCAGTGAAGAATCAGGATACCTTGACTTCTGCTCCGCCAGTGTGGCATGGTGGTGCCATGCTAGGTGTTGCTGCATCAGAGCAAGCAGGTCCTTGGTTGGATATGTGGGATTTGCAGTTCAGAATTTAGTTACTCTGGCTTCCTCCCACATTTCAAAGAAATGCATGTCTTTGAATTTCAAAGACATGCATTTCTTTGAAATGTAATAAGTGAATTTAAATTAGCACAGGGTGCAAGGTATGTAAAGTGCTTAAAGTGTATAGAATAAAGTAGGGCTGGGTGATGAGAGGAAAATCTAATATCAAGATATTTTTTGGCCCTCTCATGATACACGATATATATTGCGATATGTTTACGCGACTCAGGAGGGGAAAGTGGTGCTCTACCTGCACTGTGTATAGTGCGAGTGGAGCACTGCCGACTTCAGTTGAATTCAGTTGAATTCAATTTTATTTATACAGCACCAAATCACAACAACAGTTGCTTCAAGGTGCTTTATATTGTAAGGTAGATCCTACAATAATGCATACAGGGAAAAACCCAACAATTATATGACCTCCTATGAGCAAACACTTTGGCGACAGTGAGAGGGAAAAACTCCCTTTTAACAGGAAGAAACCTCCAGCAGAACCAGGCTCAGGGAGGGGCGGCCATCTGCCGAGACTGGTTCTGGAGAGGGAAAGAAGACAAGAAAAATCATATGCTGCGGAAGAGAGCCAGAGATAATAAAAGTATGATTCAATGATGGGTGATGTGAAGGAAATGTGAAGGAGAGTCCGTAGTTGGATACAGGAGGAACAATGCGGCTTTCATCCTGGTCGTGGAACACTGGACGAGCTGCTTTGTGGACTTGTGGAAGGTATTAGACTATGTCCCTGGTAGTGTCCTGTGGGAGGTGCTTCAGGAGTATGGGGTGTCATAAATGGAAACTTTAACGGCCTTTGAGCCTGTTACCAGCTTAGGTGGGTTGCCGAACTGGCGGTGAGGTGACAGTGAAGTTGGCCATAAATAGCCTCCATTGATTGTCCAGATCTAACTCTAGGTGCGCTGTCCAGTTGAGAGAATGGTAGGCCCGCCCCAAGGTGGTTACAGGAGGCAGGGATCCACACCAGCTACACCCACCTGCTCAAATGGACACTTCTCTGCTTAGGCTGCTGCTCCCGCGACCCAGATCCGGATAAGCGGAAGAAGATGGATGGATGGATGAATAATTATTCCTGCAGTCTTACTATTTATATTATATTCCTGCACAGTTTGTGTGGGTCACCCACAATTTCATTGTACATCTACAATGACAATAAAGGGCTATTCTGTTCTATTCTATTTGATTATTAATCTTTGGGTCTCTTAAACATTAAATTGGTATCCTCTGACAATGATGCGGATCTAATCTGCACTGACAGACCACTAGGAACTCTACTGAAATCACTTATTGCATTGTTTAGAATACACAGTAATGGAGCCACTAGTCAACAGTAACAAAAAGATAAGTCTGATTAGAATGAAACAACACTTCCGGTGTGAACGGAAAAGAAATCATCAACCTGTTTATTTTTTTTCTCTGTGCACGATTCTTTCTCTCAGCTCTTAGACTGTTTTGTCATCCCAGTGGTATTGCTGCTGTCCTGGTTCTTTCTCCTAGTGAGATACAAGACTGTCCATTTTGTCGGGACAGGTCTATGTTTGCTTGGCATTGGCTGCATGGTAGGAGCTGACATTCTTCTTGGTGGACAGCAAGGCTTTGGCAAGTACCAAGTACACACTGTCAAGTACACATAAATACTTAAAAGATGACACTCAACAAATTTACATTTGATTGCAAGCAGCTCATCAAGGCACAGATCCACTGGTAATTTGATATGATAAAGAATGCATTATTGTGGCCCACTAAGGGTGCATGCATGTGTGGGTGCTGTGAGTTTGTTGGGGTCTCTTGGTCATTTGTGAGTGTTGATTCCTCCTCTCTTTCTTCCTGAATCTTTCCAGGAGAGCAGAAGCTGTTTGGGAATCTGCTAGTTCTGGGAGGAGCTATGCTGTACGGAATATCCAATGTATGCGAAGAGTTTATTGTAAAGAACTTGAGTCGTGTTGAATTCCTGGGCATGTTGGGACTATTTGGATCCTTCTTCAGCGGCATTCAGCTGTGAGTTTGTGTGGAGGAGAAACATGCTCCATAAATGCAAGTGGTCAAAATTTAATAAGTAACAAGCTAGGTATTGATGTAGTTTTCTTTAATTTCTAAATTTAAACTTAAATTTAATCAAATTTTAGACATATTGTACTTTTAACTGAACTATGTGTATTTTACAGCATTTGTTATTAGCCTTTAAGAGAATACATTTTACCTTTAAAAAATTAAGTATTAATGCATAATGATAACACAGGTACATTACAGGTACAAATGGTGAGAGGATGTAAGAACAACACTTTCTGAATGTAACTTATAGGTAGGCTCAGGTATTTTAGACAAATTTTCACCAGGAAATGAAATCTAAAACTTTGAGGCACATGGACTAGTTCTTATATAGAACTTCTTTTACTCCACCTGAGCACTCAAGCCAGTTTATACAACTTAACTTATTCACCCATTCACACAAGCACTTTTTTAATGTGTTTTCTAAGTAAGTGCTTTCTATCTAACATTCATACTCCAATATATGCATTGGAGAGAGCAACTTGGGGTTAGCATCTTCCCAAGTATATATGGCATGCACAATAGAGCAGCCAGGAATCAAACCACCAAACCTTCCAGTTGGTATGCAGATTACCTGCTCTCCCTCCTGAGCTACAACCACCCCATTTATCTGCAATTTGAACCTTTACACAAAAAGCGAAACACCACTGAAAGTGTCTTGATGCATGCTCAATCATCCAGGTAAGGAAATCCCAAAAGGTTCATTCTGTTCATTTGAACATAGTGTTTTCAGTGGGAGAAACGTTTTGTCACTCATCCAAGTGACTTCTTCAGTCTCTGCTGACTGCAGGTTTCTCCAACTGTATAATGAGTACATTTGTATAATGACTGAAACTAGCACCACTGGCAAACAATGGGCCATGAGGTCAGTTTCTTGATCATCAATATGCAAATTGTTATGTTACGTCCAGATGAACAGAATCAACTTTTTTGGGACCACTGAAAGTGGTTTTGGCCATACTAAACTAGAATAAACATTCTTTGTCCACTGTGCACCAAGACCCTAAAGGAACTCTGGTTCTGTAAAAATAAGCCAGTGCTATTAAATCTCTGTGTATGCTTTGTTGCAGGGCTATCATGGAACACAAAGAGCTTCTAAGAGTATCCTGGAACTGGCAGATAGGTGACTCTGAACACACACACACACACACACACACACACACACACACACACACACACACACACACACACACACACACACACACACACAGTGTGTGTGTGTTAGTTGACCCTCGGATACAGGTGGAACAATGCAGTTTTCGTCCTGGTCATGGAACACTGGACCAGCTCTTTATCCTCTTGAGGATACTCGAGGGTGCATGGGAGTTTGCCCAACCAGTCTACATGTGTTTTGTGGACTTGGAGAAGGCATTCGACCATGTACCTCGGGATGTCCTGCGGGGAGTGCTCCGGGAGTATGGGGTGTCTGGCCCATTGCTACGGGCCATTCAGTCCTTATACGACCGCTTTCGAAGAGCTTGGTCCACATAGCCAGCAATAAGTCGGACTTGTTCCTGGTGGGTGATGGGCTCTGCCAGGGCTGCCCTTTGTCACCGATTCTGTTCACTATTTTTATGGACAGAATTTCTAGGCGTAGCCAAGTGGTGGAAGGCTTTCACTTTCTCAGGATCTCATCTCTGCTTTTTGCAGATGATGTGGCCTTTTGCAGAGATGCTGACCTACAGCATCTCTGTATTGACCTAGAGGTCAATGAAAATGCAGTTGATGCATTTACTCACACTTCCAAGCACATGGGTCCTCGTATTGAAGTATGTAATGAAGCTCATCACTTAGGAAAACATGGGAAACCATCACTCAAGGATAAAAAGTCAAAGCATTTGTTTCTCAAACTTTATCAGACTTTCTCAAGCTTTCTCACAAATAAGACTTCAAAGATTTGCACGCTCTTCAGCTCCCTTCTGTAAGTGACAGAGTCAGAGATGGAACTAGTGTGCTTTATCAAGGGATGGGCTTCTGAGAAGAAATTTTCAAGCTACATGCTTGCATTATAAGGTAGCCCTCTCTAGTGGCTGCTGCCAGTCACACAAGATGGCATTTTGATGGTAGGTACATCAGCCATAAAAGAGGAGGCAAAACACCCTGAAACCTCTCATTCTCAGATCTGCTCACATGGATCTTGGTCAAAGTGGCAGGAATCACATTCAAGTTAGTTCAATTCAACTGTATATGTGTATAGAGACTATTTACAACAGTCCCTTAAGGCACTTCATTGTAAGATAAAGACCACATAGTATTGGAATCAGACAACCCCCTATGAGCAAGCACTTAGAGACTCTGTGAAGAAAAAACTCCCTTGTAATAGAAAGAAACCTCTAGTAGAATCAGGCTAGAATTTAAATATAGATCACATTGAGGCACCTGTTGTTGTGATTTGGTTCAATATAAATACAACTGAACTAAAATGAAAAGTATTGGAGACCCTGTTCACTTACAAAAAGACACAAAATGTGTTAGGAAATCCCATAAAAGTTTTTTGCCTTGGTTTGTCTGGAGAAAAGGGCTTGTGACTACGCCTCAGTATGTAAAAAATGTTGGTACACAAATGTGTTTTTCTGCATCTCTACAGTGTAGGTTGGGAATGAAGAGTTAGCAATAACTCATAGCATGATCCATAAGATCACAATAACCACTTTTATGGTAAATGGTACATAGACTGGTTCTTATATAGAGTTTCTCTACTGTATTTGAGCACTTTATAATGAAATAGAAATAAATCCTACTAAAAACGATACCTCTTTGTGTGTTCACAGGTCTTCTTTATGTTGGTTTCAGTGCCTTCATGTTTGGCCTTTACAGCTTCATGCCTGTTGTGATGAAGAGGACTAGTGCCACCTCAGTCAATCTGTCTCTGCTCACAGCTGACCTTTACAGTCTGTTCTGTGGCCTCTTTCTCTTTCACTACAAGGTAATCAACTGCCAGGAATCATTTATGTGATGATGTGCAGTTTAAAAGATATATATATATAAGAGTAAAGCACTATTTAGTTTGACTAGACTAATTGATTTAGTTGATTAAAACTAAAATAACTGAACTGCATTGTGGTATAAATGATGTACACTGTTGTGACTTATGAAAATGCTAATGATACTTGTTGCACTTAGAAATATTTTTTTGCTCATAAAAAGTGATATAAAGTTAAGAATGGATGAGTTGAACACAAAAAGGCAAGAGCTATGCTGGCAGGCAGGTGGCACAGGTCTGATGGTGGAGGGTGAGTGGGTTTGGTGACATGGGCAGCAGGACATTCACACAGGCTCCAGAAGTAATACAAGGAAAACGGAGTTTATCTTTACTGTATTCGGTGTTGCTATAATGAGAAATGTATCTTCAAAGATGAGAACTTGAGATGTGTTGTAAAAATTTGTCAAAGCATATTTTAAAATGCCACCTAAGAGTTTAAACTGAGCAGATTTTCTGGAAACTGTTTTCTTACAACCTTAGAAAAAAACAAACAAACAAAATTTTTATAGTAAATTTTTATCGGAAGTCTCGTAACTGACGGTCTTTATGCCACATTTATTTACGTTGTAGCTTAGTTGTAGCATATAAGAAACTATCAATAGCTTAGTTGCCATTAACCATGTCCACTAGAAGGGAAAACAGGTAATCGCAAAACTGGGAGCTGAAATGCTTAAATAATGCCTTTAGAGAGTTTATTTGTCAGATGATTGTTTTAGCACAGTACATTGGGTAAAATAAGTATTGAACGCTTCATCTATGTTCTTAGTAAATATATTTTTAATGGTGCTATTGACATGAAATATCACTAGATGTCGGTAACAACCCATACAATCCACACATGAAAAGAAGTCAAGACATATATGCATATACCTGGTCTCAAAAACGCCATCCCAACACCGAAGTTTGGAGGTGGAAACCTCATGATGTGGGGCTGTTTTTCAGCATAGAGCATTGGTATGCTTCATATAATTGAAGAAAACATATACTGAAACAATCATGATAAAAAGCTGCTGCCATCTACCAGGATGATGATGATAAAATGAAGGTGGATGTATAAGCAAGAGAATGATCGTAAATACACAAAGTGTGGAGCATGAAATTGTCTAAAATGTCTTGGTATGCTGAACTATTAAGAGTTCCTGGGAACTAAGAGGCTAAGCTCACTTCCTGAAAAACACCCCCACACCATATTTCAATTCATCCATCCATTCGCTACCGCTTATCCTTTTTCAGGGTCGCGGGGGGCGCTGGTGCCAATCCCAGCTGTCATAGGGCGAGAGGCGGGGTACACCCTGGACAGGTCGCCAGTCTGTCACAGGGCTAACACACAGGGACAGACAACCATTCGCGTTCACATTCACTCGCACATTCACAACAGCAGTTGCCTCGAGGTGCTTAATATTTTAAAGTAAAGACCCTACAATAATGTAGAGAAAATCCCAACAATCAGATGACCTCCTATGAGCAAGCACTTTGGTGGCAGTGGAAAGAAAAGCTTTTAACCTCCAGAAAGAAACTTCCATCAGAAGCAACCTTAGGAAGGTCATCTGCTGCAACTTATAGAGGTGAGAAAGACGGGACAAAAAAATGCCGTGGAAGGGAGCCAGAGATGAATAATAATGCTTAATTAAATGCAGAGTGGTGTATAAACACATAGTGAGTGACAAGGGTTGAGAGAAGGAGAAATACTGGGCCTATGGCGCAATCACTAAGGGAGGATTCAGGGATACCTGGTCCAGCCCTAACTATAAGCTTTGTCAAAAAGGAAAGTCTTTAGCCTAATCTTAAGTTAGAGATAGTGTCTGTCTTCCAAATCCAAGCTGGGAGGTAGTTTCATAGAAGAGGGGCCTGAAAGAAGGCTCTGCCTCCCATTCTACGTTTAAATACCGTAGGAACAACAAGTAAGTTTCCAGTGTGAGAGTGATTGGGGCTGTTGGGGTGATATGGTACTATGAGGTACCATACCATTTACAGTTTTTTACAGACGCTAGGACACATTTCACAATACTTAGGTCACTTTTGCAAAACTCTTCACACAATTCTCCTAACTCACCTTCAGCTTGGCAAAGCAGTTCATTTCACATTCAAAATGCACTACAACTACCAAAACACTTAATTCAGGTCTCAAATAACCTCATTCTTCCAGAACACTAGCAAAGGTTGACAGCCGACAAACACACTTTGTCACCCACAAAACAATGACCTAAAAAACACTAACAACATGTAGCATTACACAGTGTTTACTTGTGTAAAACAAGGACACATCTCTGTTTATAATTTCAATATATGTTACTGGAATGAATCAGACATCATGCAGAATTCGTTAATATTTGTTTATGTATTTTTATTTTTTTGCACTAAGTAATCCCAAAATACAAGAATTTGTATACACACCATCCACTGATACACATACAATAGTAATGCTAATCTACTCGGTCTTCTCTATTTGGCCACAGGTTCTCATCCACATCACATCTTATGTCATCTAGGGCAACACACATAAGAAAGAATCTTCTGGCTGCCAGAATTGAAGGAGTTGAACAATTGAAGGAGTAACACCTGTGTAGATGTTCATCTACAATGAGAATAAGCTGTGGCTGGTTAAACTGCATTTTTAGATTTAAAATATGTATCAATAAAATATTGTTGTTGAATTTTGCTGTCTTTTCAAGTTTTGCATTGTGTTATTGTTTTGGCCATAAGTTTAACAGTTTTGAAAACAGTATGTAAGCACATGCAAAATGTCCTGTACGTACAAAGATTTTTGGCAGTTGTTGTGTCTGAGTGAGAAGATAATTCATGAAATTTGAGAGATGTAGTCATTGAATGCATTTTGTGCCAAAACAATGATAACTGGTCCTCAGTTTAGCCCACATAGACTTCTGTTGTGCTCACTGTGTGAGGTGTTTTGCAAACGTGACCTAAGTATTGAGAAATGTGTCCTAGCATCTGTAAAAAACTGTAAGATAACATGAGGTCTGATTTTGGTCAAAATCTTTTGACTTATTTGAGCTACACTGCCAGTCAATTTGTCCAGTTTGTTATTGAAAATTATCCAGTTTAATGTCTGATTGAACTCTGAAAGGAAAGCACAGTACAAATAAGTATTCTAAACTGTTGACTCGTCAAAGTAGCCACCCTTGCAGATATAACAGCTGAACACACCTGTGGCATTCTTTCTACAATACAATCAAATATTTGTCAGAAAGTTCTTCCCATATCTGTTTTTTTGTTTTGTTTTTTTCAAGTTTTCAAGTCAAGTTGGCTTTATTGTCACTTCAACCATATACAGTTAGTACACAGTGAATCGAAACAACGTTCCTCCAGGACCAAGCTGCTACATGCAACATAAATTTACAACATAAATAAACAGAAAACACTAAACTAGCTAACTAAGAGGCCTAGTTAGCTGGCTAGCAGAGACAAGACAGACTGACCTAACATGAATTACAACATAAATTAACAAAAACTAACTATCTAACTATCTAAGGAAGACTGTTGCACAAGTTCCCATAAATATGTGGCACTTGTAGGTTACTTTGCTTTCACTCTTTTGTCCACCTTGATGGGGTTTAAGTCTGGAGACTGTGCTGGCCATTCCATGTTTTCAAGCTTACCATCTTGTTCTTTTTTCTGTTGTGGTTTATCAGTTGTGGCTTTGGGTCTGTCAGACCTCTTCCTGTCAGAGTGTTCAGAGTGAAAGGTTGGAACAGCTGTAGGAATTAGTATGAACAGCTTTCAAGGCTTGATGAACCTCTATTGCTGCAGAACAGCTTTAAATTGTTAACCCATTTTGTGTTCCCTGAAAAAGGCCTTTTTGTATAATTCTGAAATAAACATTATCTTTCAGTTTTTGGTAACCTTACCTTTTTTTAAATGCAATGTTTATGCTGTTATTTTCAGCATCTACATGGTTGTTAAAATCACCCACAATATAATTATTTTTATCTGAACTGAAAACTAAATCAGTAAGGGCTAGGGTGGACAATAGATAACAAATAAAACTGTTTTTTGAGTTTTCCAGTTAGGGTGAAAAAGGCTAAGCATCAGGCTTTTAAATGAATTAAAACTCTGTCTGGGTCTTTGGTTGATTAATAAGCAGGAGTGGAATATTGCGGCTGCTGCTCCTCCTCGTCTTGTGCTTTGAGGATTCTGAGCTAGTATAACTCAGGGGTGTTGATTCATTTGACCAGTTTTCTGTAACGCAGGGTACATCAATATGCTGATCAATTATTAAATTGTTTTCTAGCCTGGGCTCAGAAAGAGAGACCTAATGCTTAATGATCCACATTTAACAGTTTTACTCGTTGGTGCAGTTATAGATACTAAATTGGTCTTTCTTTGTGATTTGTTTATGTTTAAGTTGTCTTTTGCTGAGTTTTGGTTTGTTTTTTGTTGGACTGGGAGCAGATACAGTCTCTAAGGGGATGGGTTTTTGGGGAGATAACAGGAGGAGAGAAGCTGCATAGAGGCTTTTAGCACTGCAACTCTGCTTCCTGGTCCCAGCTCTGGATAGTCATCTTTTGGGGGCTTTAATACATTTCTAGAAATGAGAGCTGCTCCATCCAAAGTGGGATGGATGCTGTCTTCCAAGCTAAGATCAGGTTTTCCCCTGAAAGTTTACCAATTATCTATAAAGCTCACATCATTTTTTGGACACCACTCAGACAGCCAGCAATTTAAGGAAAATATGTGACTAAACATGTCATTCCTGGTTCGACTGAGGAGGGGACGAGAGAAAACTACATCTACATCTGACATTGTTTTGGTAAAGTTACACACTGGTTCAATATTAATTTTACTGACCTCCGATTGATGTATCCAGGTTTTAATTGCTGCCGATGTGAATTAGAATTTTACCAAATCTGTTTATCTTTAGCCAGCAATTTCAGGGTTCATTGAATGTCCCTGCTCTGGCCTTTGGAAGACATGGTGTTTGTAACGACACGTTTCTCAAAACAGAATGACCCAAACCAGAGTTTGTTCCTTGGCGGGTGTGCCACAGAGTGGGGAAAATTTTAGATGTGAATGGTTGGTGTACTAGGGGTTTCTGTGTAGGACTACTAGGACTAAGGTGCAGGAGGGACAGTTGAAGACACTGTACTGCTAGTAAGTTGGCTAAAAGCTAAGCTAATGTAATGAATCCCTAAAGACACGGTGAATGAATACTGTAAATATAATTAGCCAGTTATTCAACAAAGAGTGTGCTTTGAATAAAGCTTTGGGACACTAGGAAATAAGTCATTTTCCAAGAGTTTTTACTTAAATGGGCTACACAGATAAGCTACACCATTGTGTAACAGGAACAGGAAGTGATACTGTTCCCAACACTGGACCAACACCGAGTGAGAGTGCCATCACCCTCGACCAAACCTTGGCACAGTACAGTCAGATCTTTCTCCTGGTAACCACCAACCCAAATTCATCTATCTGATTGCCAGATAGAAAAGCGAGATTCGTCACTCCAGAGAAAATGCCTTCACTCCAGAGAACAGGCCTTCCTTTCACTGCCTGCAGTTTAGTTGTCCAGCATGCTTTACACGACTGCATGCAGGTTTTGCATTGCGTTTGGTGGTGTAAGGCTGGATGCAGCTGCACAGGAATCTGTTCTTGAGCTAATCTGAACATCACATGAAGTTTGGAGGTCTGTAGTGATTGACTGTGCAGAATTTGGTGACCTCTGCTCACTATATGCATCAGCATCTGCTGACACCACCAATTTGTGAATAAGTTACCGTCTTCCCCAGTCACTTCCAAGTTGTTATAATACCACTTACACTTGACTTTGGAATATTTAGTAGCAAGGAGATTTCAGAACTAGACTTGTTGCACAGGTAGCATCCTACCATGGCACCACACTGGAATTCACTGAGTTCCTGAGAGTGACCCATTCTCTCACAAATGTTTGTAGAAGCAGTGGCCATGAAAGTAAGTGGGACACTTGAATTTGGTGATTTGGATTGGTGAGTGAATACTTTTGGCAATATAGTGTTAATACCAACAGCAGAGATCTCACTTTGACACTGCCTTCTTGGATAATACTGATTCCCTACATTTTCTACCATGCACTATCAAATAAAGACAAATATAATAGATTTTTATGAGACTTTAAATAAGATTTAAATAAAAGACAAGTCAGGACAACCAATCCCAATGAACTGTTATTAATCAGCATTATCCTAAAAGAAATGTGCATCTTTACATTAGTTTTAGAATAGGTTGAAAATAAAATATTGCATGTATGCATATATTGAACGTCACATGATAGCTTTGTCTCTGTGTTTCAGTTCTCGGGTCTCTATCTGTTGTCATTCTTCATCATTATCTTGGGCCTGGTTTTTTACTCCTCCTCGTCAACGTATGTGGTCCAGGACCCACGAGTCTACAAGCAATTCAGAAACAAAGACAATCAAACACCATATGAACCACCTCCACTTTGCCCTAGAGTCTTGGAGCCCACTGTCATCTACACTACCCTGAGCCCTGAGCAAGGAGACGAGTTTCCTGTTAAAGTAGCCTAAGAACTGGGATAGAGTTAAGTGCATTAGCCTGATAAACTTGTGAGTCAGGTGCAACCCCCAGGTTTCCCTTGTATACAAATGAATAGTGCTAGGCTTTGCCCAATCTGGTAAGCAGGATAGCTGGGATCACCCAGGTAAGTCATGGTATTCATTTTATGGTCTGAATGGAGAAATGTCTCCATGCTCATAAACACAAATTCATTTAGCTACATATTGTATGTACTGAGAAATGACTGACCAGAATGTAATTTAAACACATAGCAATGTGAGTTGAGTTCACGGTCATCAAAGACTGTGCATAGAGTATAGTAGCTGTATATGATGATGTAAAGAGATGGTATTGTAATTTTTATGTTATCACGTATTTCTTCTAATATTTGCAAGAGGATATTGTATGGATGTAAACTATCGTCTGCCCAATATTGCTCTTATTTCAAAGAAAGAAGTTCAATAAATTTACAAAAATAAGTGCACATTGTATATAATAAGAAGGATTCTCTGTAGGATCTGATTGTTTGCAGGCTGAAAGAAGGATAACTATATTCTAACGCCCTGTTTTCCACAGTGTAAGTATTAGTGAGGCGTGAAAGAGATTTCAAATTCAGTGTTATATTTGTCATAGGCCCTAGAATGTTGAATTCAGAATCCAGCACATGTTTGTGAGGTACATTTTGGTTTTTCAAGAGATGCATTCAGAGGAGTCATGTATCATCTGGACTGCTGTTACAGCTGTATACTGTTTTGTATAATACAGGTCATTGTTCAAAATGTTTTTGTTGGTTGCTTTGATTGAAAAAAAAAAAAGTACAGTACATACAGTGAGATCAACCTTAACTGAGTTTTATTTATCGGACACGGTTTTTATGTATAAATAATTGTATGCAATTGGAACATAAAAAACAAAGGTTGACAAAACATAACTTAATTGCGTGCAACCAATGTACATTTTTTTATGTTAATCCCACAGGTTATTTTTTTCAGTGTACTCTAGTGGTGTACATGACAGATGATTCATTTCAAATAATAAAATATAAAAGATGTCCATTTGTTGGTGTTCATAATTCTATTTTTCACATCCCAAATTTCCTAAAAATAATTAGAAAACCATTTCTGAAATGCACTTACTCAGTAGAAACAATAATACAGACATAATACTGCTGAATACTGACTGACATTTTTAACAATATGTTGCGTTACTATTGAGTCACTCATATTAAATGAAACCCATTGTGGAGGAGGGTGTTTCTTCTTCACTCACTATGTGTTAATAGACCTCTCTGCATTGAATCACACCTGTTATTAATCTCTGGCTCTCTTTCACAGCATGTCTTTTATCCTGTCTTCCTTGTCTCACCCCAGATGGCCCCGCCCCTCCCTGAGCCTGGTTCTGCTGGAGGTTTCTTCCTGTTAAAAGGGAGTTTTTCCTTCCTACTGTCGCCAAAGTGCTTGCTCATAGGGGGCCATATGACTGTTCGGTTTTCCTCTGTATGTATTATTGTGGGGGTACCTTACAGTATAAAGCACCTTGAGACGACTGTTGCTGTGACTTGGTGCTGTAAAAAAAAAATTAAATTGAACTGAAGTAAATACAAAGAGCAATTTAAATGATGACTTTATTTGTTGAGGAATAAAAATATCCAATCCTACTGGTCCTGTGTGAAAAATAGTTGTAAGTTGTTAAGCTAAAGATTAATCATAGAAAAATAATTTAGGTTTAAACCGAATGAGAAAATGTAACATGTGAAATAAAGTGTCCAAGCATGCCAGGAACATGCTTGGATGTAGTTATGTGGAAGTATAAAAGTGCTGAGCAGAGAAGGCAAACTGTTATTCCTTGTTTCAAGCTGGTGAGCAGACGGGTGACTGATCTGTGGGATCTGCAGTAGAAATAGTTGAAACGAGGAGCAGCAGGGGAATAGCCAAATCCCAACCACTGCACGTATCTACTCTTTGCCCCCATTATTGTCAGAAACCCATCAGACAGGTTATATTTTTATGCCTTAGTTTAGCTTGTGTTCATTGCTTATTTTATTTGACCTCTGAATGTACTCAAGTATTTATATATTTTTGCATTGAAGTTACATTTAACTAGGGCACGTAGATAGACGTGGGTTGTTTCTTTTGACAGACGTATCTAAAATGGAAATTTTCACCTTTTGAATATTTATTATTGTTCATTAATAACAAAATGATTTATCTGATTAATTGGTGGAATACTCGATAATTACTTGATGAGCTCTACACCTCACTGCAACAAAAGAAATCCTTTGCAAATGTTGACATACAAGCACTGAGAAGAGATGCACTTTATTTGTCCTCTATTTGATACATTCCTTTATTACAGCAGTTGAAATTAATATCTGCAGAGCGCAGTACTGTATTATAGATGAAGATTATATTTGGTACAAAAGATTTCCACCTGAATCTTTCGGTACACGGCCTGCATAAACTGAAGAACACTGCAAGATATCCAGAAAGTGGAAAACTGTCGTTGATGAGCACTTAAAAAAATAAAATACAGGTCTAACTGCCTGGACGCAAACTACAAAGAAGTGAGCAAAATTGAAGATAAATGTAAACGTCTGTAAATAGAAAAAGAACTTTAGAGTTTCCTGCCACTACCCTGGTGGTTTTTCATGTTACTGCCATCTCATCTTGTGATTTCAGCTTGGATTTAATGGTATTAAGCATGATGAGATGAGATTTCCTTTCAGGAAACAAATGACTGAACACTGTGTGACACATTACCACAGGAGACCTTTAGGTTCAGAGCTCAATGAATGTTTTGGTGGACCTACCAAATAATGGTGAAGCTGACAACTGTGTAAGACCCAGCTAAACAACAAACAACAACAAATTAGACTTGACTCCCCCCGCCCATATTTCTTTTATTAAATCAGTTACAATATACTGTTAGGTCAAAAAGAAAAAGAAAAAATATCACAGATGAGAGTCAAACACATCCACAATATGTCTGAAACAAGCTAATGTGCTACACAAGAACTTATCAGGAAGCTTGTCAAGCAGTCAAAACCACAAATGTTATCAAAAAGCAAGTCAGAAGCAACAAAAACAAGAATGCATCTTGTTACTCAATTAGCTGAGCATGTGCAGACATGTGCAATATAAAGAAGAACTATCTACACCAACACATATGCACAACACTGCTCACGCAGGGTGATGGAGCCAGTGGGAACCTACTCTTGCTTCTAAATGTCACAGCTGCTCATGCACAACTCAAAAGAATAAAAACATTTTTTCCCTTTTTTTAAGCAGGAAACAGCATACAGAACATTACAGTGCAGAGTTGATGTGCACGCAGGATCATAGGAACCTTTTCAGATACAACTACTGTTAACATCACGTCGAGTTTTCAAAGAAAAACGTGCAAGTCGTCAGTGGGTTTAACAGGATATACTAATGACTGCAATGAACTGTTAAGGATTCATGAGAATGGGCTGAAGTCACAGCTGGAAAAAACAAAAACAAAACAAAACACATGAACGTCCTGACTAGTTCATCACCTTCTGGTTATGTAGCTACACTCAGCAATACAAGCAACTCACCAGAGCCAATAAACAACCATTCCTTCAGCACTGACTCATGCAATGTTATTTAACTACTAAGTTTCTTAATTTGCAGTAACAAAACACAGGTGAAAGCTTCAATATTTGGAGCAGTGGGACAGTGTGCAGTTTCAGTCAAAGTCCCTATTGACCAGGACCAGTGGAGCCACCAATGTCCACACATAGAGTGCGATGCAGATCCAGCTGGAGGAGATCTTCACCCACACAGACGGCCACTTGCTGGTGATGGCCTCATACTTGGAGTCAGGGCTGCGGACACACACAAACAAAGTGGACTAGTTGCTTCTATCCAAATAATATACCTTAGCAGAAACACAAAACGCGCCTTATTTGGACCTAAACCCCACATATGAGGTAAGAAATCCAGAGCAAAGGTAACGTCTCTGACTATGGAAGACTGCGCAACTTTAAACTTATTGTGGACAAAACCCATGAAATAACAAATATAAAGTACAAAGACAGACTTATACAGGTCTCCTACAGCGTGAAACCTACCTATACCAGTTGGTGAGGGTCATCATGATGTAGAGCGACGCAAGGAACAACATGAAGTGGAAGAAAGAGTAAGAATACGTGACACCATCTTTCTCATTGTCCACAGCTCTGTTGGGGCCGTTTCCCTCCTCAAAGCTGTCCGTCTGAGGCCCATCTTCAATGAGAGCAGACTCATCACTGGTCAGAGTCAGCTTGTTGACTTGGGCATTGGATGAATTGCGGATGCTGACGAATAAACAGAGGGCTACAGTTAGAATCGTGCTATCCACAAAGAGACAGCCTGCGGGTTAGTAAATGAACCATTTAGTTGTCTGGGTGTTTGCATGTTTAGAATTACAAAGATAATTAAGGAGTTCCATACCTGGAGTAAAGGACACACATGAGGAAAAGGATCAATCCCACAATCCCTTGGGCATCCCACCACTGAACCACATGGTTCTGACTGCCAGGACTTGTGGTGTTTAGCCCAATAATGCCCAGAAGGCTTGGGTTACATTTCCTGTCTGAGAGACAAGAAGAGATTCTTTAATTATCTAATTACCGTCATCTGCACAGCCACTGAAGTCTATTCAAATGCACTACATGTCAGTGATATCGGTAGCGTTTAGCATTCAGGAAGGTGTTCTATCCATCTATATTCTTAGTGTGCTCCTGTACTTCCTTTCCTTCCTGTTGCCACCAACCCAGTGAAGAGGTAGAAGACAGCAATGCCCTGCAGGAATGCTCTGACACTACAGACATGTTCTGTGATCCAAATGGAAATGATAGCTATAGCATCACAGACTACATCACTGACTGTATACATTTCTGTGAGGATCGTCCCAACCAGGACTGTATGCAGTTTTCCTAACAACAAGCACTGGAGCACCATCGACACTACACTGGTTGGATGTACTAAGGGTGGGCAGGAGTCAGAGTACAGAGAGCTGGTGAGGAAGAAATCCCCTCCTTCTGAATGTAATCAAGACAACAGAGATGGCAGTTGACTTCCAAAAGAAAAAGTCTTCAGCTAGGCCCATCAACATCATGGGTGAGGAGGTGGAAACAGTGGAGAGCTACTGGTAGTTTACATTGATGCTGTTTATAAGAAGGGGAAGCTCAGATCCTTTAATGTGTTGGAGGTGATCTACCAGTCTGGCCATCTAATTTGCTGTTGTCTGCTGGCGGAAAGCATCGGCGCCAGAGTCCGTAGGCTTTGAGTCGGTGAGGGACAAACTGCTCTCCATTATGGACAAGCCAGCATCACTCCACACTTCGAAGGCAGCAAAGCTCCTTCCTTCATTCTTCCTCAGTGTGATTCAACCCCGCTGCCTCAAACAACACTACAGAAACTCATTCCTACTGTTTTATAGAGAACAGTACAGTAACTACTTGTTCTACGACAGCAGATCACACCTATTAGCCAAACCATCCCACACATATTTTTGTATTGTACCTTCATGCAGCAGTTTCTTAGATTAATAGTGGACATATTTATCAACACAATTTGCACTACTCTGCAAAACGTCAGTCTTAATTTTACTGTTTTTTTTTTTTTAAACCAACTTCGTTGCTACTTTTTTAAAAAATCACTGTTGTATTTGTAAATCTTTGCATGTGCATTTATTAGCGTCCGCACTAGGCACCTGTGGCACTCTGTTTATTGTACACTGCAGTATTTTTATTCTTTGTCCAGCTGCTCTAACACAACAGTTTTCCTTGTGGGATCTATCTGGACCAATAGAAACACCCATATTCACAAGTAGAGTGTGACCATGTGGAGAGAATGGAACTGATAAATCACACAATAGATCGATGCAGCATGAAGCATCCCAAAAACACACAGGCCCACATTAGATAAAAACTATTATTGATCAGTTTGAGAATAAAGTTGAAATCCGTTGGTGTCAAACTGATTCTCAAAGCAGCGTTCCGGGATCACTGCTGGCTTTGGGCGGGCACCTGTCCGTTCACGTCAGAGCATGGGGTAGATGTGGACGGACGTGTATCTGTGTGTGTGGGGCTAGGCCTGGGTCTGGGGGTCAGTTATGGGCACATACCAGTACACTGCAAAACACAGCAGGCTGAAAAGCTTTTGTTTTCTTACCAGGCTCATTGGTCATAGCAGACCAGGTCAGGTACATGGTGTACAATGTCACCAGAGAAGACTGCAACAGGCCAGACCTGGGCTGGGACTCCTGTACATGACACACCACACATCAGTTATCTCTAATTTCTAACAACAACTTTCATACATGACACATTCTGAACTATATTAGGCGACACCTCCATGACTCCATCATCTCATGTCTGACTCATCTTGCTATAATTCATGCCATTATTCTTTTAGTGTTACATTGCATAACATCACTTCATAATAAAGCCCTACATATCCGGTCATGTTAATATGATTAATGCATCTTACTACTACATATAAAAGCTGAACATGTCGAGTCATCTAATGTACACAAGAAGTGGTGTGAACCTGGATCTGTGGCAGGATGGACATGACGGAGGCAGCGATGCAGAGGAGCATGTTGATGCTTATGAAGACCTTGTTTTCAGTGCAGCCATCAGAGTGGGTGTAGTAGACATAGAACATGACCAGAGACACCAGAGACAGCAGGTAGCTGACTGTGGTGACTGACAGCAGAGCTGTGAACATACAAAAACAAAGAAACCTCATTAACAAAGAGTTGTGTTAATCTTTTCCAGCTGATGGAAACACCACCTTGAATTGTTTACTTGTCATATAAAACAAATACACCCAAGCGTACACCTAATTATTTCTTGTGACTGTTGTAATTAATAACATAAAAATAAGTCTTAAGTAAATCCTATTTTTCCAGCTATGACCAAAACATTTTTGTCTGCACTTCAAATCTATTAGATCAAAGACAGAGCTCTTTAGTCATCTCCACGAGTATCCTCTGTCACTTGTCATCATACCTGCATACCAACAGCGAGAGTTGCCCTCCTCCATCTTCTCCACCCAGGACTCGTTCCAAGAATGGGCAAAGTCGATGAGTAAAACAAGCTGGATGAGGATGAAACAGAAGGCCCCCGCCATACCGATGTAGAACCACACTGTGGATCAGAGTGAGAGAAAGAACGTCACACAAAGGACACTAATATAATGAAACCTCCAGTTTAGTGTGAGATGAATAGAGAGCTTTAATCTGGCACATTCACATTTCTTTATTCTTGTCCTTTAATGTGCGCTGTAAAATGAAACAAGGTGTGTGTGTGCAATCAATGATCAATGTAATCAATTGGACTAAGTGAGAGTGAACCAAAAACAGTTACCAGTAGTGAAGGGCCCTTCTGAGATGAAGAAGGATCCAACAGTGATGGCAACAGCTGCTGCAAACTTGAAGAACCAAAACCTGACAAACAGAACATAAAGAAATTAACAATCAGATTACTGCTGAAAACGTTTGCAGATGTTATCATTCAAGTACATTAATGGTAACATGTTTTAAACGTGCAATGATGGACATCAGGAAACTGTGAGCAACACATCTGGTGCTGTGCTATTTAAATAAAACTGAATTTAATTGAAAATGCTTCTTATATTCATGAAAATAATCACTAGCTGCAGTCCTAAGTGGGATGTTCTGCAGTAAAGATGGCCTTTCACTCCCTGCTGCTAGTTTTGATGTGAGCTATAACAACAACGCGTTCCAGCTTGTCACATGTTCTAATAACATGATATGTTTGGCATGTTTAAAGCAGGTAATCAATCCATCAAATCTCAATAAAACCTGACTTTGTGTCATAGCAGACATGATGTGGAAGATGGACATGCTGACTCACCCGTTGTGGAGTGCAGCACGGGGGTCTTTACTGCTCTTGACTTTGATCATGAGCAGAGAGAAAAGCAGGAAGAACATAGCCATTCCGAAGCAAACACGGTACACGGCCTTGTAGCCAACCAGCACATCACAGTTCACATGTCCCTCCACACCAGGAATAGACGAACCCCTCCCTCCTTCACAGAAACCTGGAATCTAGAGCAACATAAAAAGAGACAATGTATACAGGTGTGTCGTAGTGCAGCACCCGCCACGAAAGGGCAAAGGAGCCACTGGATGCAACAGAGGCACTGTACTGCGAGCCAAAGGAAATCCACAGAGATCCCACAGGTCAATTATCCACCTGTCAAGTGCAGGCTGGACATGAGCTAGCCAAAATTATCCTTTAACATGTTGCATTTTGTACTCAAACGACGTGTCGGTCATACAAACACCACCACTGGATACATCAAAGCTAATATTTGCCTCTTTTCTAACTTTTCTTTTGGTCAGATATGTCACGCTTAGATATTTTAGAGCAAACACATTTCAGTATTAGACAAAGATAACCTGAGTCAATAGAGAGCAATTTAAAATGATGATTTCATTTATTAAGAGAAAAGTTATCTGAACTGAATCTGTTTTAGTTGCTTTTGTTTTAAGACAATTAGTGTTGCTTAATGTCACTAACACAACTGCTTGCACAAGGCCATACAAAGCTATCTTGAAAATGGAAATTGGTCTGGTTCTCATACAGCGGTCAAAGTGCTTGAGCACACTTGGGTTATGCAGCAGGACAATGACCCAAAGCACAACAGCAAGTGGTGGTTCCATCTCTCCAGTCTGCATGCCAAATATCCTTGGGCCCAGTCCCAATCTTTTCTCCACCGCATTCATTGGATGCATGTGTGTAAATGTTAAATGGAAAAAAATAGAGCTAGATAGATCCAGCATAGAAAAACGTAGAAAAAAGTGCTTGGGTGAAAGAAACAAGTTGAATAAAGCACCGAGTGCTCAGGTAGAGTACAAAAGTGCTACATAAGAACCAGTCCAATGACCATTTGACTAGTCAAAGCCTGGACTTAAATTTAACCAAGGTCATGAACTTAAAATCCTCCTTTGTCACTGAATTAAAACAATTCTGCAAAGAGGGGGCAAAAGTTCCTCCACAGTGATGTGGTACACTCACCGTCAGTTATCACAAAACAAGGAGGAAGCAATCAGTTATTACGTTTGAGGGGCAATAACTTTTCCATTAGAGCATTTGTAGCTTTTCCATTAAATCAAATTATCATTTAAAAAAATTTACATTTACTTGGATAATCTCTGTCAATGTTCAAATGTGAAAAATTAGTGATGTTTGCGACTAGCCGACTAATCGTTGTCACTATTTGGTACCAGATTTGATGCCTAATGCTGGTAAATTGTTGGATCATAAATGTTATGCAGCCATCTGCCACTAGATGGAGCACTGTTGAAAAAACACCAAAAATCTGTTATTCTAATAGTGAAGGCCTGGATTGAGACAGCTATACAAACGGCGGACAATGGCTTTCTTCGAAGGGCGGATGGTCTCTCCCTTTGCGAGGCTGAGGAGTTGGATCATTATGGAGGAGTTCAGAGTAGAGTAGCTGCAGCTCTACACAAAAAGGAGATGGCTAAAGCTGTCACCTCCTGGGTAAGGTGTCTAAGCTGGGCACGTCATATCGGAGGAGGCCGAGACCTCGAGGAGGTGATGAGAAGGAGGTCTGGGCTCCCCTGCTGCTGCCCCCGCGACCAGACTTCAATAAACGGAAAAAATGGCTGCAAAATTTGTTGTTTTCTTATTTTTAGATTTGAACTTTTATTGAAGTCATTGTCATGAATTTTCAAACAGTGTGCATCGTTCATGATGCAGTGCCACACTGTTCAGTTACAGTTTTAGTTTTTCAGATGTTCATTTGTCCTATTTTAATAATTCGTGAACATGTTTCCATAACATATTTAACATTGGTTTATCGGAAGGGTTTTTCCTCTTTGGTGTCTATTTTGAGTATAACGTGTTGACGATGAATGACAAGAGGTGGCGCCCATCTAAACAGCACTGAAGAATCGGATTAATGGTTTGAAATGCCTTTTTATTAGTTTTTGACATTTTCCACTAAACTGTTCTCAAATGTAACATATTATCTTAGTGTTTCTGACTTGTCAGTTATTCTAGTATTAGAGTGTTGTCTCACTTGCTTAGTTGAGAAACAAAAAACCCCCCCAAAGAATGAGGTTTTTCACAGCACTGCAGCTTCCAAACACGGCCGACTGAACACTGTTAGAAACTTTTTTCCAAACATCCCACCAGATTATTTTGTTATAGCCAATATTATACAACAAAACTGCACAAACAGAAAAAAAGGGGATTGAGGCCACTGTAGGGATCAACATAAAAACAGTTACCACGTGAGAGGAAAGATCACAGTACATTCACAGCCGTGTATAGTTCTCTTGGTGTGAATATCACACATATTTAAGTATTTAACAGTTGGAACGGGCAGGTATGGCTCATTAGGAGAATACGGTGATTAACAACTGGTAAGCTACTTAACAGCAAACAAGGACCATGTGTCTTACATAATTAGGAGCAATGAACCAAACTATATTTACTCTCACTGCAGAATCCTGTTAAAGCCTTAGCAAACTAAAATACCCATGAGAGTGTTTTCATAACTTGTGACATCTCTGTGCTGCAGGAGATATGCAGGCATTATTCCAAGGCTAGTTTTATGTCAGGAACACTGCGTACCTTCTTGAGCTGGCCCTCCATGCCAGGCATCAACATGATACAGGCAACAGCCACTCCCAGAAGCAGGAAGAAGGCATAGATGAGGCGAGTCACTGTGGAATTATTTCCACTGGGGCAGCATCGACATAGCAGACAGGGGGCGCTGCCACAGAGACACGGGATCTACATACACACATGGGAACAAGTCGAGTATTAGAGTTAAGCACAGATATTTTAAAGCTCATTGGTTAACAGGAATAACGGTAATCATTTAGTTCCTAGAAGCACCTCGTGTCTGTAAGTGTATCTGTCCGTTTCACATGACACGAACCTGCTGCGTGCAGCGGATACCGCACTCTGTTTACAAGGTTGAGCTAACGTCACACCCCGGTGTTTTCATTTCACGGGCAGTGTGTTTACGAGCCGTCACTGTGTAACATGAACATCAACAGGCCTGCTGGATGGGAGGTAGTACGGCGATGGTTCGCATAATCGGCTCCGTCTAACTAAAAGCGCAGTAACACGCTCACAGTAACTGAATCACTAAAGTGTGTTATGAGCCAAACGGTGATGTTAGTATGTCTGCGCCACAGACGCTCATCGTGTTGGCCTGACATTTTCCTCCTGCGCAGTCACTGCAACATTTGTTAAATCGAGGCAGCTAAAACGTCCTGTCGCTGTTAAAACTGTTCTCACAGTCCAATGAAGAATGATACTGACCCAGCTTGCCATCGAGCACAAACCCAAAACAGCTCCCATGATCGCTGTTGTTGTTCTTTTGTTGTCCAACAGCAGACCGCTCCAAGAGCTCGGTTGACAATTTAAGAGAAGATGGCTGACGCCCGGACACTGGCTTCTTTTGCGTCATAAGGCGACAGTGTCGGTGCCGTTCACCGCTTGGCTGCCCCCTACAGGACAGTTATAGAAAACAATCCAAATCAAAACGGAACTCTAGAAAAAGGAAGAAAAATACGCAGAAATAGTCTGATAGCCCATTTCTTACAAAGAACTGTACGTGGAAAGTATTGGCTAGGCCTAATTACTTTAATCCCTCAATCAAAGAAAATATTTTCTATCATTAAACAGTTGGCTACCAATATTAAATCATGCTTTTACCTTGCAACAGACTGACCGGGATTCATGGAAAACAGACATATTTAAGTCTGAGCTTAGACATTTTTACTCTGAACTTGTTACAGAAGACAGCTTTAGTCTTTTCTTAGGCCTCTTTAAAACATTTCCTCAGTATATGAGTTTATGGCTTGATGTGTTCCTTATAGCAAATTTGTCAAAGCCCCAGTGGTTCTCAACGTTTTTACATCATTCACTACATACAGGAGGAAAGATTTTCACGCCACAGACAAAAACAAAACAAAGACAGAAAAGCCTAGCTGCAACTTTGTTCTGATAATAAGCACATTCACAATGAATTCTTCATTCATTTTTCTTTTAAACAAACAATAGAATAGAATAAACATTTACTATCCCACGAATTAGAAATTTGGGTGTCACACAGCTCTTATAGCAAGAGGAATATAGACACAAAGTAGTCCTATATACACAGCAACCGAAATTCGTATGCACAGATATACGTACAGAGATATGTACATAAGTGTGGGGGGTGTATAAATGCTCCTGGTGAAATATACAGTGTACAAACAAGCTGCTAATGAGTAGCAGCAATTAAAAACATATGATATGTCAATTAAACTGGTGATGAGTGAGATAACCATGTAATAGAGGCTGCTGTAGAGGCTGCTCAGTACAGTCTCATACAGGGGGTGGCAGGTGTTGTCCATGATGGATGTTAGCTTAGACAACATTCTCTCCTCGCCAACCTGCTTGATGGACTTCAGTGGACAGTCCAGGACAGAGCTGGCCCTCTTGACCAGTTTATTAAGTTTCCCCCTGTCCCTCTCTGCCATTCCACCACTCCAGCAGACCACAGCATAAAAGATAGCAGACACCACCACAGTGTCGTAGAAGAACGCCTTTAAAAGAGTCCTGTTCACCCCAAAGTATCTCAGCCACCGTAGCAGGTGAAGACGACTTAGACCTTTTTTGTAAAGGGGATTTGTATTTGCGGACCAATCCAGTTTGTTACTGAGGTGAACACCCAGGTATTTGTACTCCTCCACCATTTCAATGTCCAAACCCTGGATGTTCACTGATGTAGGGGGGGACTTCTTGCTGAAGTCAATCACCAGCTCTTTCGTCTTGCTGGAATTGATATGAAGATGGTTCTGTTCACACCAGCTGACAAAGTCATTGATGATGACCCCCCTGTATTCCAGTTCGTTTCCCTCTGACGCCTAGTCCACAATGGCGGTGTCGTCTGAGAACTTCTGGAGATGGCAAGTGTCTGTGTTATAACTGAAGTCCGCAGTGTACAGGTTGAAGAGGAAAGGGGCAAGTACTGTTCCTTGTGGGCCCCCCGTGCTACAGACTACCACCTCAGACTACAACAACTTTCATTTCAAACAACTTTGCAACTTTTGTCACTAGACTGTGTCATTAGTCTGCACCACTTCTTCAAAAAAACAGCAAGTTACACAGAATGTGAACTTTGCCAGAAATGCAAAAATAAAGTTCAGTCTTAGTCTTATGAAAAAAGAAATCCAGAAACTCATGAACAGAGAAGAAAAAATATATAATTTAGTGAGAGTTTAATACTTGTCACTCGTAGTGGCTGCACTGAGCCTGTGGTTGCAGGCTTGATACCGCCATTGTCAAGTCATGTTCAATGTTCAACCTAGATCTATACTTTGTTTTCAGTGAGGCTCACTCCATCTCACAGAGGTAGGACGTGCCAAATGGAAGCAGAATGCCCACAGCTTTCTATCGATGAGTGGATGCTCCCTCTCCACACCAGCCAGATTCACTCGGGGTGGGTTTCGATGATAGATTTTCTGAGTAAAATCGATTTTAGTTTGAATAACGCGATATCGTTCATTAAATCCTGAGTTCATTTTTAAATATAAATGTATTTTGCCAGAAACGCCAGAATCTCAGGTTAGAGCTTTTATTTTTTTTTCCTGCTGATGGTATTCTCCAATTTTCTTTGAAAGAAGTCAAGTGTCTTATGGATGTGTTAAGTCTCTAATCAGAAGTATTTGACTCCGTGGTATAATTCTCAAACACGTAGCCTAAAGCAGATGACTCGTAATCTGGAGAGGAAATGGCGTGTCACAAATTTAGAGGATCATCATTTAGCCTGGAG